TTAGTTTGTGATGATGACATAAGTCTATGCATATAAAAGTGCCCGGGCATTAGGCGCGCGCTCTCGCGCTAACTGCCGGTGATCACGCCGTGCTAATCCTAGCACTCTGATAAAAAAAAAATAATAAAATGCCAGGCACATAGGAGAGACTCAACATTTAAATTATTTCCCTATTTCCTCCCTCCTATCCTCAACCCCTCAGGAGTCAATAAGAGTTTAAAAGGACTTGAAGATCACGGAGCCCAATTTCTCATCTAGTGAAAGAATTGCTCTTAGAACATTTTAAATAAGCTGTCTGGCAGCCAGTGGGATGTCTGAGTCATTTCCGTTGCATCAACTTTATAAATTTCCATCAATTTTGCTCCTAAGTTTGCAAATTGGATTAAAAATGTGGCCCCCTTTACAACATAGTTTCCATTCTCATAAAAGTTTTTTTTCTTTATTTGTTTCAACGCAATCATATCCTAGATTATTTGCTGCAAAATGGAATATATAAAAGCCTTTCCGGATTCATCATTTAATTTCTTAAGTTTTTGCTTTTGTAATTTCATTTCAGTTTTTCTTCTGAGTAACTTTTTATCTTCATCATCTTTATTGGAATCTATAAAAGGCTTTTCATATATCATATTTGACAGCTATAACAAATAGACATAATAATAAATTATTCTCATTTTATGGCCTTAGATTCCAAAAAGTTGTGACTTCTCTAAGTGCCCAGAGTTTATTACTCATCAAACATGGAATAAACTTTGATTTTTCTGATTCCTATTTCAGTATACTTTCTATATTATGTAACAAATTATGTATTTTATATACACACGCATACAGAGTCTGTTGTCATTATTTGTGGAGTTATGTTTTATGGAATTGCCTCAAACTCTGAATTAGTGAATACTGACCATTGCTACAAGGAAGATATGCAAAGTTAGCTTCCCATGGGTCTGGTCACATTTTGTCAACTGATCAATACATAATCTTGTTTCTGTTTAAAGACATTTTATTTAATACATATATTGTTGATTCATTAACATTATATTTATGGCCAACAGCACTGTCACTTTTGCCTGAACAAAGTTTACCTATCACAGGTAATTTCTTTATAAGGAACATCACAGTCCTTTTTTTTTTTTTTACAATCTCCTTGTCCCAGCTAAGTGATGCCGCGTCACCTCGCTCACAGCAATCCAACTCCTGCGCTTCAAGCGATCTCCTCCTCCATGCCTCCGAGTAGCTGGGAACACAGCATGGCCACCATGGGCCCGCTAACTTTTCGTATATATATTTTAGTTCGGCCACATTATTTCTTCATTTTAGTAAAGATGGGGTCTCGCTCTTGCTCAGGGCTGGTTTCGAAACTCCTGTGACCGTTGAGCGATCTCCTGGCCCAGCCTCCCGGAGTACTGGCTGACTACAGCATGCCGCCACACGTCCCGGCTAATTTTTTATATATTTTAGGTTGGCCAATTAATTCTTTTCTTTTTAGTGAGACAGGGTCTCACTGTCTCTGGCTGTTTCGAACCCTGGACCTTGGAGCATCCTCCTGCTCGCCTCCCCAGAGTGCTAGGGATGACAGGCGGGTGAGCCACTCTGCTCAGGACCCATCCACAGTCTTTATTGGTTCTTAAAACACTATAACTGCACTGCAGTCACTCTGACTCGCAGACATTTTAAACTCAAAATCATAAACAAAAGCAAAAGATGCCAAATACAACAGCAACAACAACAACAAAAAACTATGGGCACAAATAGACCATACAAGGACTACAGCATACAGTTCACTCCAGAAAGCAGCATGTTGCATTGACTCAGTATCTTTCTCGTGCATGGACAAATGGCACAAAAGCACTGCAAAATTGTGATTGTAGATCACAGTAGATGTTAGCCAAGTAGGTGAATTCACAGAATGCAGAATTCTTGATAACACGCAATTAGCAATGTTTGGTGTGAGTGTTTGTGTATTTTTGCTATATATTTTTATAATTAAAAAATAGTAATGTATAGTAATTTAACACATAATTGAGTAAAAAAGGTATATAAGAATTATAATCATAAACTACAATTAAATCATATTTTGGAGAATATTCACACAGACTGTATCCTGTTTACTGTAAGTGCATTAATGCTTATGAAGATTATAGATAATTGTGTAGGTATTAAGTAGCTTGTTTTTTCAATTACAAATATCTTACACTCATTCATGGAATAGACGTCTTGGTTTTCAATGACTGGAAATGTTATGTTACTTCTATAATGTGCCATTTTAATTTAACCAAAACAGAAAGTTTTTAAAAAATAATTTTTTCCCATTATATATGATCTATAACAAGCATATCGATTTGATTCATCTTTGTATACTTTTTGGGGGTTTGGGGGTGTATCAGATCCAATGCAGTTTGTAAGGTAAAGGGAAGTTAGGTGCTCAATTTTAAAGTTGAATCCTTGTTTTATATTTTTGCAGGTATTTTGCTATTCTCATGCCTGTGACCGTGTCTAACTTCTTCCTACCCCTATTATTCATGTTGTGGATTGAGAAATGCTGAGTGAAAACAGCATTTAAAATAAGAGTAAATAGCTCTGTTTCACAAGCTCTTTAACTGAAACCACTGTTAAGGCCTTAGGTGTTAACTAATTCACTACTTTTCTGGATTGGTAGGCTTGTCCTTAAGTGGATCTATTTCACAATAAGTTAATGCGAAAACTCTTACTTTTTTGTTTTTTTTTTTTAGACAGAGTCTGGTGCCCAGGCCTAAATGGTGCCGTGGCGTCACCTCCCTCACAAGCAACCTCCAACTCCTGGCTCAGCGATCCTCCGCACCTCCCACCAAGTACTGGACTACAGGCATGCACCACCACACCGGCATTTTTTCTATATATTCTATATGCCCAATTAATTTTCTTCTCTTTTTAGTGAGACAGGGTCTCGCTCTTCGCTCAGGCGGTTTCGAAACTCCTGACTTGAGCCGATCCTCTGCTCGCCTCCGCAGCAGCCTAGGAATTACAGGTGTGAGCCACTGCTGGCCTCAGGCCCATCACAGTCTTTTTGTGCTTAGGAACACTAAACTGCACTGCACACACGATTGCGACGAACATTTAAACATCAAAACTCCACCGACCCACCATGGCTTTTTGAGGTAGCAATCATTCAATGGCAATTACTGAGTACTGAATGACCCTCTTTTAAGTATCACAAAGGCTTCAAAAGCAAATTAAAAGTGACCATGGGCGGGCGTTGGCCCCATGCCTCTAATCCTGGCACTCTGGAGCCAAGCGCGGTGATTGGCCTCAAGTCAGCGTCGAAACAGCCTGAGCAAAGCGAAGACCCGTCTCTACTAAATACGAAAGAAATTAATTGGCCAACTAATACATATAGAAAAATTAGCCGCGGCATGGTGGCGCACGCCTTAGTCCCAGTACCGGGGAGGCTGAGCAGGGAGGATCGCTTGACAGCCGAGTGAGTTGGAGTTGCTGTTGAGCCGAGGCTGACGCGCACGCACTCACTCTAGCCGTGGGTGACAGGGAGTGAGACTCTGCTCCATAAAAAAGAAAAATATACCCATGCCTTTAAAGAACTTCCTAACTAGTGTCGAGTAAGGATGTTTGCAAACTAGACAAGCAATGCAAGCTCCACCAGGGCATCGATTTTCATGTTTATTGACATATTCCCAGCTCTTGGAATGTTTTCTAATATATTATTCCTAATATATTATTTCTTAATAAATATGCATGAATGTGAATTAAAAAGAAGATAAAAATATAATGAGCGTTCTATAACAATTATTAATAACATTAATTGTTAACAATGGTTTTTTTTTACTTTTCTTTTCATAATTTTTATTCTTTTTATTTATTTTTTTTTAGAGTGCTATTCCAGTGAAAATAATGTTGTTAACGTCGTTAATAACGACCGTTATTATCAATGTCTGCTCTATACCGTGCCTTCCCCGAGGAGGGGAATTGGTGTGTATTATTAATATTCCACTTAAGTCCTCCCAACATGACGATGGAGATAATATTTGCATTTTTTTTTTTCGATGAGAAAGTCGAGGCTCAGAAAGGTTACAGAATTTGCTTTCAAGTTCAGACAGCTAATAATAAATGGCAGAGTGAGACGAAAGGCCTGCTGGCGTTTGGTGTTTGAGAAGGCGGATTGCACACATGGGGAAATTCTACAGCTACCTCTTTCTAAGAGAGGTTTCCCCCATCCTTTTATCCACTCCTCCTCACGTGCGCACAGAACTCTCTGGGGAAGAGCTGCAAAGTCTTTTTTAAGTAGCTAATTATTCAGTACTTGTGGTCGCCTTGCCCCGGGGGCCGTTGCTTAAAGGATGACAGCGAGCCAATGTAAAGCACCGTGGCTGCCTCTAACCGCCAACGAGGCTGCGAGGTAACGGCCTTTGCATCTCCGTTCCAGGACGCCTGCGAGATGCTGATGAGCACGATCCTGAGAGAGCTTCAGAAGACGGCTCCAGCCCGTCCCGGGCGAACGCCATCAAGCGTGGATGTCCCCCAGCCTCCCGTGCCCCGGGACTCAGAGCCTGGGGCTGGACTCGTCATCACCGGGAGGACCCTGGAGTTTGCCCTGCAAGAAAGTTTGCAGACGCGGTTCCTGGAGCTGACGTCTCGCTGTCGGGCCGTGGTCTGCTGCCGCGCCACGCCCCTGCAGAAGAGCGAGGTGGTGAAGCTGGTGCGTGGCCACCTGCAGGTCATGACCTTGGCCATCGGTGAGTGGCCATCGGTGAGCCGGCCCTGCACCTTCTCCCTGTCTTTCTTTTTCTTTTCTTTCTTTCTTTTTTTTTTGAGACAGAGTCTCACTCTGTTGCCCAGGCCAGAGTGAGTGCCGTGGCGTCAGCCTAGCTCACAGCAACCTCAAACCCATGGACTCAAGCGATCCTCCTGCCTCAGCCTCCCGAGTAGCTGGGACTACAGGCATGCGCCACCGCGCCCGGCTCATTTTTTGTCTATATATTTTTAGTTGGCCAATTAATTTCTTTCTATTTATAGTAGAGACAGGGGGTCTCGCTCATGCTCAGGCTGGTTTTGAACTCCTGACCTCGAGCGATCCTCCCGCCTCGGCCTCCCAGAGTGCCGGGATGACAGGTGTGAGCCACCGCGCCCGGCCTGTCTCTTTCCATCTCTATTTGCCTCTGGTTGCTGCCGGGTGCGGGTCACTTCTCCATTCGGGGTGGTGACGCAGCCCCTGAAAACTCCCGGGTGTACGTCCTTATCCTGTTCACGACCTGGGTGAACAGGCAGCACCTGTTTCCAGATCGCTGCGACAAAGTGTCGGGGTGAGCATGGAATTGTGTTCATTTATCTTGGTGAATGAACCTATCAATGAATGGACCCTTTAAGCCCCTGGGTTCCAGAACCCCCCTGGAAAAAAGAGAGATGATCTTTCATAGCCACGGCCCATCACTAGGGCTGATTTTCATGTAGACCGCCCATCACCAGGGCTGATTTTCATAGCCACGCCTCACTGCTGTTATCATGCATCATGGGCTGATTTTTCATGGCCGATGCATACTAGCTGATCTGTTCGTGATGCCCATCACAGTGGCTGATTTTCATAGCACCGCCATCACTAGGGCTGATTTTCTAGGCGCAGGCCCATCACTAGGGGGCTGATTTTCATGGCCATGCCCATCACTAGGGCTGAATTCTTCATGGCCGCCATACTAGCCTATTTCATTCGCTAATAGGCGATTTTCATAGCCACGCCCGTCACTTGAGCTGATTCATACCATGCCATGACTAGGCTGATTTTTCATGGCCTAGCCTCAATCACTAGGCTGATTTCATAGCTACGCCCATCACGTAGGGCTGATTTTCATGAGCACCACCCATCACCAGGGCTGAGTTCATAGCCACGCCATCACTAGGCCTGATTTTCATAGCCACGGCCATCACAGGGCTTTATTTTCATAGGCCACGCCCTCACTAGGCGCTGATTTTCATAGCCACGCCCACCACTAAGGCTTGATTTTCGTGGTAGCTTTCTATGCGCACCTGCTCACACAATCCTGGCTAGGGCTTGATTGTCATGGTAGGGCTTTATTTTCGGGGAAATATGGTATTAGTTCTGCTGTCACAAACACAGGTTATTCCCAGCTGCCTGCTACGTTCACACGTTTTCTGGGTCTCGGCTCCTGGTTTTCCTTGGGAACTCTCAGCCCACGTGGCTGCCAGGGTGAACCCAAACACCCGTTTTATGAGTGGGCACCTGACCCACACCTGTACGATCAGTGTCTCCTGTTCTCCGCCTCAGCGACCGGTTCACAGATGGGCACATGACTGAAGTTAATTAGCATGATTGAAAA